GGGGGGGGGGGAGGATGGCAGGTTTTTGCTTTTGCTCATGCAGTCAAGGGCAACTTGAAAAAATTTAACTGTGAAGATTCCAAACATCAAAATACAATTAAAAATAACCAAGACTACTTTTTGTTGTAATGATATGGATGATACATATGTATATGAATGTGCATGCAAGTAACTTTCACTTGTATTAAACAGTTGAGAATGTTCTGATACCAAAGTCAAATGCAGTGGGTAGACATGTTCTAAGCTATATGCTGCTTCATCTGCACATCCCTGCTAAGAACAGCTCTTTTGGCAAGTGATGGGAAGCCTTCACTTGAATAAAATGCAAACATTATGTTCTGTGAAGCTCTGGGGAATGAGGGGGTGTCTGAAATAGGGGTTGTCCCTTTTCTTATAAACCACTTAGTATGGGCTGAGCTGAAAATGGGTCAGTGTGGTGAGCCAGTAGAGGAATCTATTTACTGATACCCCTAAAGCTCCTGAATATTGCTTGAGTATTACCACTGTGGAAGGATGATGTTGTACCTCAGTGCCAGAATCAGAAGGCTGGAGTCTACCTATGTGCACAGGAGTAGACAGATTTGGTCTCCACCCTCCTGTCTTTGAAGATGGCAAGAGCCTTGGAAGCTCCCAGCTCACTGGTAGTCTGCACAAATGTACAGGGAATAGCATGCAGCCATGGTGGAATCCCGTTTTCTTCAGGTGAAGCAATTAAGTCATTACTGAGCTATAGGCATCACAACCTCAGAATTCTTGGGTTACACAGCTGAAAAATGTTTTGCTGGTAACAACATCCCTTCCATTATTTGGTGTGGCTTTACTATGTTCTAAAACCAACAACTAAACTCTAAACATTAACAGTGTCTGGAAACAATAACATTGTTTTAGAGCTGAGTGCTTTATAGCTAGCATGTTCATTTGACATGGATTCTGAAAACTTACCTAGCAGAATAAATGCTTATTTATAGGAAGGAAACCCTTATTTTCAGGAGAAAAAAGAATTGAAGAAAATGACCTCCTGTCTGCATTTGGCTGTGTTTTAGCTTGAAGAAATTTATTCCACCAGGAAGGTTTTTTTTGACCTGTGTCTAAAATGCATCAAAACTGCTGAAAAGATACATGCTTTACCATACTAGCTTTTCTTTTTTGTTGTTGGCTTTTACAAAAAGCTACTATTCTGATTATCCAGTAAGGCAGTACAGCCGAGATATATTATGAAATTATCATTCATACACAAGATCTCTTAACAGATTTCCAGAGAAATTATATTTGAATAATCTTATGTATTAAAAACTATTATTATCCCTCAGGAAGCTGCACAAACAATGCATATGTATGAATTTTAATGGGGTTTTTTTTTGTAAATACAAATTTACTTGCAAGTAAATTGTGTGAGTTTAGAGAAAGGCAGACAGCAACTGTACAATTAAATATATGAGCCTAGTGTACAGAAGCCAATGAAATCTTTTTTGTGTAGCCTATCAAAAGCACTCATTGGATATTGAACTGCCCACTAGCTTTTAAGTATGTAGAACAAGGGCACTGTATTTCTTGGCTGTCTGAATTCACTTGGCTGTAAGAAGTGGGTGGCATTCAAACAGGACTTGCTGTCCTCATGCACAAGCCTCTCATTCTCCAACTAATCTAGGTAAGACCGGAAGTGTTGGGGTTTTGCATCTTAAAAATTAGTGTCTTTATTACAGTTGCTAGCATTCTGTATTTGGTAAACTTTAATCATATGCTCTTAAGTATTTCTCTTGGTGTTGTAACTTCTTTTATCTTTTCTCTCACCTTTGCATTCTAACAAAGACTAGATCCAACCCATTTCCTGTCCAAGCAGATCTTGCCTAGCATAACCACACAGTACATTAGAGTCTAAAGTAAATTTGGCATTACTGATAAAAAATAGCCATCAGTCTTTCTAAATAATTACATTAAATTGTAATTAGTTTTCCCTTATGATGGAAATAAACCTTACTTACAAACATAAAGAAACTTATACAGTGGGAGCTAACAACTATTTAATGTAATTGGGTTGGGTAGAAATCTACTGATTTTTTGAAATATATTTAGACTACTCTGCAGGTCATTTTCAACTTGGACAATCAGTCCACACATCTCTAATAATAATTTCTTTTCTCCCTTTTACCCAATTATTAACAACATACCTGTGACACTTAAACATCCTGTTTCAAATTATGGTTAAACTTTGCATGGCCTTAGAAATCATGCTGTGTCATTTAAAATAATACCTGGCAACTTGTTTAAGACTTTTGCACTAGCTACAGATACATATCTTCTTATTGTTTTCAATTTGCTGGCAAAAGGTATTTGTTAAAATCTTGAAAAAAATTTGTAAGCAGGACAGACAGAAGACTTTGTAACAAGCCTCTCTCTATTTGGAGTGCTACAGATCAAAAGCTTACAGGCTGTTGGTAATCTATTCTTTTGCTTACCAACTATGCTTCCAGTTGGACTCATAAGCCCTTTGTTTTTTCTCAGCTTAGAATTCTACACTTTAACTGGGTGCTACCAAACATTAACAAATCAAAATACTCTTCTTAACAACAAAAAAAGTACGAAATTTACACAGAGAATGATGACTTCTGTCACTAGAGTCTAAACTTACCATTAACTGTTAAAAACATTCAAATATACCAACAGAATATTGTGCCAGTGAGTGTACTTCAAGTTTTAGGAAGCTGATGGGTATGGCTTCTGTCTCTAGATACTGAAAGAAGAAAGAAACAGCTTTTACTTGTAAGTGAAGACAAGCTTTGACATTATATTGCAATGTCATAGCTGGCACCAAAAAGCTTTGTTGTAGAGATCCTGGCTGTTTATGGCACTGGGAAAGGCTGGGCTTGAGAAGTTGTTCTTTCCTAGAGATTCTGCATACTGTTGTACTAGTACATACTCTCTTCTTCTAGGTCAATATGAATCATTCCTTATCTCCCAGTACTTACATATGGGCATCCACTCTTGGAAGTCTCTTGTTTCTTTCTACTGCAAACCAGAAGCCAAGATTTGCCACTTGGCAGTCTGACATTTTCCACCTTCCTGCTCCTATCTTTACTTTTAAACTGTTTACAATAGGGCACTTACATGTTTTGCCTCTGAGTCACGTCCGCTCCTACCCCGAAATGATTTATGAATGCACTATGCTAATTTCAACTTAATTTGACAATTGAGTAAAAACGCAGAGATTGAGTTTGGTGAAAACAGTTGTGTTTATAGATAAAAGAGACACCAAAAGCACCTCCATCTGGAGAATACAAACTGTCCCAGTCTTTATGTATCAGAAAACTGGTATGCAGGAGAACCATAGGAAACATTGCTGTGTTTGTTCTGCTGCCCACAGAATTATTTGTTATATCTTATTCCCTGGAGAGAAAAGCTAGGGTAACTATGGTTTTAAAGCTGAAAATATTAACATGTAGCACCCTTCTGAGATGGTAACAGACTCCATCATTGTGCATGGTTCATATGTTGCCAAAGTGGTATTTGTGAGGATATGCTCATTAATTAATGGAAGTTGCACATCAAAACAATCTACAATTCAACAGGTTCATGTTATGTAGCAGCTTCTAAGAGTCCATCAATGGTTTGTGTACAAATTTTTGCGTAAGACTAAATGGTTGCTCTCCAGAAAACTCTGCTTTACAGGTTCTACTAGCAAAATTTTTCTCCTGCGCACTGAGGATAGCTGCAGTGACAGATCACTATACCACATGTCAGTTCCACATCAATGACTACAAGATGCACTATTAGAAAAACCATAGCCTACCTCACTAGTAAGCGTTTATTTCACACCATCAAGTGCTGCCTCTATTCACAGAGACCTCTATGATGGAGCATTCAGAAGAGCTGATGGAAATATTTGTTGTACAAAGAAATTACTAATTTAACTCCATTTTTCCTTAGTAAAACAAACTGGATTCAAGAATGGGCTCAATCTGCAGATTTATTTCTTAGTGTTATATGTCACTGGAGCCCTGTGGTAATGTTTTTGTTGGGATGATACTTCCTTAAAGGCACAATCAGGTGACAAACTTTCAGTGTTAAGTATCTGTGCTAAAAAAGCCTTCACAAACTGCAACCTAACAGCTGTTTTCATCACATTGCAGGAACACATACATGAAGTAAGCACTGAGACAATGGAAAGACCACTCGAGGCTACCAGAATGGAAAACAGCACCTCTTCCTGCTTTCTCATGGAAAGAAAGACTCATGTCAAGATTAATAGGAAAGAAGTCATGCTAGCTAAGCTGAGGAAGAGCTGTTCCTGCACCCCAAAGAAGATAAAGAACTTTGTCATGGACTTTCTTCCTGTTTTACGATGGCTTCCCAAGTACCAGTGCAAAGAGTATATTTGGGGGGACGTTATGTCTGGGTTAGTGATTGGGATCATTTTGGTGCCCCAAGCAATCGCATACTCACTGCTGGCAGGTCTGAAGCCCATTTATAGTCTTTACACATCATTCTTTGCCAACATCATCTATTTCTTAATGGGTACATCCCGTCATGTCTCAGTTGGCATTTTCAGCTTGATAAGCTTAATGGTAGGACAAGTTGTGGACCGAGAACTTCTCTTGGCTGGGTTTGACTTGAATGATGATGCCCCACCAGCCTTGGGTGATGGCTCTCTGCAGAATGACAGTCAGTCCAACACAACTGCCTTCAACCTTACAATCGCAGGGATGAATGCTGAGTGTGGAAAAGAATGCTATGCTATTGGCATTGCTACAGCCTTGACATTTGTGGCTGGAGTGTATCAGGTAAGTGGTTACTGACATTCAGAGGCAAGGTATGAAGTTCTTAAAGCTTCTTTGCATGACCTAAGCTTTGGTTTGACTCTCTTTCAATGAGAGATACAGCATCAGTTCACCTGAATGACCTTGGACTGTTTATTCCAGGAAGCCTAACTGTAGGCACCTCAAAGAAAGCATGAGGTAGGCAGTTTTCCTAGCTACTAGCAAGCACAGGTAAAACAAGAGTTTTCTGCAAGACATTAACATTGTTTTGATACTCTGCTGCCTCTTGGCCTTGCTGCTCTCATGGGACCATGAATCCAATATAGATCTTACCATAATGGAAATTCCCATTGTTGTGTACTTCAACAATGAAGAAATAATTCTGTTTCCTTAGGTACTTTAAAAAAGGTGCAGACGCACTCATCTACTTCTAAGCAGGTTCAGAATGTGCTGCTCAGTCTTTTGCTAGTGGGTACTATGTTCTACCAAACTGCTGTCTAAAGGTAATTCAGAAGCAGAAAGGACAAGAGGTGAAACAGACTGACTAACATACTTTTCAGACAATGGCTGTGCTGGACTTTTTGAGACTTAACTAACATGCTGCCCATCACAAGGATATCAAGAAAACACAGAAGGAAGCATGATGAACATACTTACCTATTAGTTGTATATATATAAACTAAGAAAGAGCTAGCTATCTTCCTGTTTACTAAGAAATTTCAGGTCACATTTATGAACAACAAAATGCCCTGGTGCAGCTATATTTTCCAAAGCCATCAAAGGAAGGAGAAGCAACTAGTTAAGGACAGTATCCTGGGATCTGGGGAAGTTTGTGAGCTCTTCTGCCACCTCTGACCTTAGGTATGCCACAAAGGCTGTTTGTGCTCCACTTTCCCTTCTGTTCACAGGTCTAAAATTAAAAGCTGTTTAATATGACAGTGCCACTAAAGTAGGGATCTTAGCTGTTGTTATTCAAGTTCTGTTTACAAAGCAATGGCCGTAAGTTTTAACTTTATTCACTTTAAGACAGGAAAAAAGAAAATTGGCTTTCGTATAACAGAAGCATTTTTGGATCCACTGCTCTTTTGCGTGGGAAGTAAAATTCAGAGAAGCCACTTCAGCAGACTCACTTCAGACCAATGTTTGATTGACCCTGTCTCAAACTCCTCATTCACCACTTGATTTTGTAGTATCCCACAACAGTAAAAGGAATCACACATATTAAAAGCAGACTGGAAACATCAAAGGATAATTCATGTTTTAAGATTCCAATAGCCAAATGCTATCTGCCTCCAGCTAGTTCTCTCCCACCTGTACTTAATTATTCACAGCACCATTTAAGGCTTATCTTTTTTTTTTTCTTTTTTTTTTTTTTTTCTGTGTCTCCTCAGGTTCTAATGGGAATCTTTCGTCTGGGTTTCGTATCTATGTACCTATCTGAGTCTGTACTAGATGGCTTTGCAACTGGTGCCTCCTTAACCATTTTAACAGCTCAAGTGAAGTATCTGATTGGAATAAAAATCCCACGTAGCCAAGGGCATGGGATGCTTGTTATTACCTGGATTAACATTTTCCGGAACATTTCTCAGGCTAACCTTTGTGATGTCATCACAAGTGCCATTTGTATTGTGGTGCTGGTCACTGCTAAGGAACTGGGAGATCGGTATAAGCATAAGCTGAAATTTCCTCTTCCCACAGAGCTGGTAGTTATTGTTGTGGCAACACTGGTGTCACACTACGGGAAGCTAAATGAAGTGTATGCATCCAGTGTTTCTGGAGCTATTCCAACAGGATTTATTCCCCCCAAGGTACCACATTTCAACTTAATGCTGCGAGTCGCTGTAGATGCTTTGCCTCTTGCCATAGTCAGCTTTGTCTTCACTGTATCCCTTTCAGAAATGTGTGCAAAGAAATATGCTTACACCATCCGAGCCAATCAGGAAATGTTTGCTGTGGGGTTCTGCAACATCATTCCTTCATTCTTCCACTCTTTTGCAACCAGTGCAGCTCTAGCAAAAACACTCGTCAAAACATCTACAGGCTGCCAGACTCAAGTCTCTGGAGTAATTAGTGCAATGGTGGTTTTGCTGGTGCTGCTTTTCTTGGCACCTCTCTTCTACTCCTTGCAGAAGTGTGTCCTGGCTTGTATCATCATTGTCAGCCTCAGAGGAGCCCTAAGGAAGTTCCAAGATGTGCCAGCACGGTACCATGTGAATAAGGTGGACACACTTGTTTGGGTTGTTACCATGTCGGCCTCTGCCTTGATCAGCACAGAAATAGGGCTGTTAGTTGGCATTGTTTTCTCCATGTTATGCATCATTGTTCGAACACAGCGGCCACGGACAGCCCTGCTTGGTCAGATCCAAGACACCAGCTTTTATGAGGATGACTTAGAATATGAAAATCTCTCTTCTGTTCCAAAGGTCAAAATATTCCGTTTTGAGGCCCCACTTTACTATGCAAATAGAAACTACTTCCTAAAGTCTCTGTACAGATTGACTAACTTAGATCCTAACCTAGAAGCTGCTAGAAGGAAGAAATATGAGAAGAAGGAAAAGCAGCATCTGAAAAAGGGAGGTGACACAACTGCTAATGGACTGGGCATCAGAGACACCACTCTGCAACTAGTTCCTAAGCAAATTGATTTCCAAGCCCTTGTTGTAGATTGCTCTTCCATCTCATTTTTGGACACCACTGGAGTTAATACTCTAAAGGAAATCCTGAAAGACTACAAGGATTTAAACATTTCTGTTCTCCTGGCTTGCTGCAATCCCTCAGTGATAGACTCTCTGAAAAGAGGAGGTTACTTCGGGAAAGATTTTGGAAGTATGCAGGAAATGCTTTTCTACAGTATACATAATGCTGTGCGGTTTGCAAAAGACCAAAAGCTTCCAGCAGATTGCTCAGTTTAATCCCATGTCTTCCTTGATGACTCACTAGAGAAGTGACAGATGGGGAGGGGCAGTTTGCAATAATTAAATTATCAGACACACTGTTGGCTGTGTACAACAATGGGCCTACAAGCCATTCTCCCCTGAAGAGCTCTACTGTTTGTCAGATGCCACATAGAACAGCCACTGGGGATGCAGTCCAGGACCAGGATGGAACAGGTTGGATTATGACCTGCACCTTCACTTTAAAATGCAGGTGATGTGCAATAGGGCAGTTTGGGATTGACTTCCTCCTTGTGCCATGATCACCCAACATACACGTCATACAACTGTTGTGCTAGAAAGTCTGCCCAGTGCCAGCTGACTCTCCCAGTGGTTTAATGGCTGGTTTGTGTTAAGAGGGTTAAGCCACCTCCATGAAAATGCAATCAGTCTAGCACCTTGGACACATAATGGTTTAAATTCTGGCTTGAAAGGCCCTGCCCCTTCCATCATTCTAGGTGTGCTCCTAAACAACTCCCACTGCCTGCATACAAATAAAATGTGTAAAATATTGTGGAATGTAGCATGTCTCTCCACCTTGATTACACAGGCGTAGTGACACAACCTGCCACAGAGAAGAAACCATGATCCATCACAGGTTCCTCTCAAAACTATCATTTCCAAAAATTATTGCTGGTGTCACCTGTGTTATTGGTTTCCATCTGTGGTAATTAGTCACTGAATGTTACCCTAATGATGCTGGAAGAAATATGACTCTGATGCACAATTTTATAACTACTAAGTGCATAAACAGGATTAAGAAAAATTAATGGCTTTAACTGGCAGTCATACAGTCACCCAGGTAGTTGTACCATCCTGTAAAAATAAGTTGCCTCTGGTGGGCGGATGCAACTCCAATTCAGGGACACATAAGGACCATCAAACATAAAACCTCAGAACTGTGATGCAGCACAGCATTTTCCTCCTACAACTGCCTGCCTGGGCGCAAAGAGAATCAGGAGAAAAGAGGGTAGGGTGGGAAGGTAAATCTGTAATCTGCCTAGAAGGGGAATGATGGGTCAGTCAGAACTGCCTGGCTGGTCTTCTCTGACACAATGCTAATGAAAATTTACAGTAGCATACCTGGGCCAAGTAAAGGGAGTAACACTTTGTAAGTTGTGTAACCCTATATCCTGGAAAAATTCCACCACTCTTTGTACATACTACAGACATTTTGGTGGTGTTTTTTTTTCCTCCTATCATATTATTCTTTGATTTGAGGTCCACTAAACCATGTTTTCCAGGGCTGGGTTACCTTCTATAACAATTTGCATTAATTGCTGTTCATTCTGCTTTGTGTCAAATGATAACCCCAGAGTCAGTTGTGTTGTTATATATGCATGGTCTGTCTTTACAAATAAGCACAGATTTAGATTTTGATTGTAACACAGCTAGTACTCAGTGTTCTGGCCCATGGCACTGGCAGAATATCCTCTCTCATGCTCAAGCTTACAATTACCTGCATGAAAGGTAGGGCAGCTGCCCTGTCTTTCTCTCCTTACTCATGGCTGGTTCACACACAGCACCAAGCATGGAAGGAAATTCTATCACAGCTGTGCCTCTTACAATTAGCAGACTCTAGAAACAGGTTCCATGTATGCAGAAGCCATTTCTCCACTGTGCCATTTAAAAAAAAAAGTCAGCTCAGCACATCATGTGACTTGCTTATTTCAACTTTTCAGGTCACTGAATGAAAGAACACTCAAACTGAGGTTCTCCAGGTGCCCCAGAGCCTGTCTGGCTCTCAAGAGCAAGTATTTTGTTAAAGAAAAAGCAGTGCATTCCCAAAAAGCAAAATAAAAAAATGTCTTCACAGGGACTGAGAATAGCACAATTAGGTAAGTGATTCAATGATAACATTTTCATGCACTCATTATAAAAAAGCGTATCAGCTGCACACTGTTAGTACTGCCCAAGCAGTAAAACCTGACAGAAATGTCTGTCAAGAGATTAAAGGATTGACCATTGGCAGAATTTTCCTGCCATAAAACAATTTAATTACCTTATTCTTTAAATTGCTGACTTGGTATGACTTGCTTCTTTCTGTCATAAAAGCAAATGGGCAGAGACCAAGGACAAAGTATTGCTTTGTGTCCGCTTTTCTTTGTAACCATTTTTCATGAGGGAGTATCTCTTTTAAGTCCTTCCAGGGCCTAGCATGAGGAAGTGGGTTTACATGAGTTACTGCCAGACAATATCAATATAGATAGTCTTTGGCTGTTGTGCCAAAGCAAGCTGTCATTGGAAGTCAAATAAAATTGTTTCAGTACAGAAGAACACACACCCCAGCAATCTAGACTTCTTTTAACTTTATGGGTCAAGCTACCAGCCTAGAACATAAAGGAAAAAATGCAAAAAAATAGCCTTAATTCTAGATGAATCTCATTTTAAAAGAAAAAAAAGAAAAAAAGAAAAAAAGAAAGAGAGATTCCAATGGAAGGTGTGTCCTTGCAACAGTCTCTGGAGAAAAATTAAGAGAGGCTGCCCTTCTCTTATCCATCAGGCTGAGAAATTAGTCAAAAGTCTCTTTTTCACCATATTTATTGTAAGAATGGCACCGAAGGATACCTAAGCAAAGAAACTTGGCTATGCATAAGAGGTAGGGTAAGCTTTAAGACTTTTACTAGGAAAAAACTATTGACCAGAAGAAACCATGAGAACAATTTTCTGTTTCAGTTTCATTGGCAGAGCTGGCTCATGATCAAGGTGTAGAGCTGGACAATGTCAAACACAGCAAGGGAACAGCTTTTAGTGCTATGATGTAGGGATGCTGAGAGACTGTAAATTATTGCTAAGGAGTATGTAAAAGTAACTAAAAAACCAAGCCTTTTTCTGGCACATTTATGTTTTCTATACTGCATTACACCAAGATTAAGGGTATGAAGACTGAAAATGTTAAACACTGCTGATTCTCTTCTGTCCTGTTCTACCATGAATTGGGTACTGTGACTTGGAGGGAAGCTGGGGATGGGCTTCTAATTCCAGCTAGGTTAATATTAATGTTGAAATAAAATCATTATATGCCTTTTAGGAAATGTTATATCTATCATGTAGATTGACTATATTTTTGTTCACTGTGGTGCCTTGTATAAATCATGTATCCAACAAACTTTAGTGCTGCTACACAAGAAGAGGAAAGGGTTCTTAACTTGTGGACTATGTGGGTCCCATGGCACTGGGCAAAGAGTTGGGAGTCTTCACCTCAAACTCTCCTGTTGACTAGTGCAGCATGGCCAGAATGTGTGGTCTAGGCGTCAAAATGGCTGTATTTACTGGCAGTGGTAACTAAGAACCAGTGGACTGTCCAGTCCATGAAAGACATGTTAGATTCCCTCATAACCATGCATATTCCTGTGTCACATGACCTAGAGATATATATGTGCTTCTGGTTGGAAAATAAAACTAGCAGTTCTTTGAAAACAGTTTGCCTCATGGTATCCTTTCATGGGTGGTGAAATAACAGGATAACTTGGAATAAAGAAAAATATAAGGGGAAGGTGGCAGTCTTTTATTTGAGCACATCTGCTTCTTGAGAGGAACATTTATGGCACCTTTTTAGAGATAGGACAACTGTGAGGAAAAGCAATGCCTGTATCTGTCAGCCTTTCACAGTGGTGGTATTGCCTAGTCCTCTGTTTTCTGTAAGTGCTCCTCTTCAGTCAAGTACCCACCATCTACCATCACCTTCCAAGAAGTCTTCTCGACCACCAACCCCATGACATAACACAGTTTTGCTGTTACAGGGTTCTCACTCTAAACGTCTTTCCATCCTTCTGGAAATCGCTGGTTCAGGAAGAGAATTGCACATGCACAGAATTCAGCATCAGCACTGAACTCCTGTTCAGACTTGCATTCTTGCCCCTATTGCTTCTTTCAATCCCAACGTTTGTCTGCAGGCTCCATGCTCTCTCCCTTTCCAAACCATTGCTGCCACTCAGTCTACTGGCTGTCCTTCCACAACTTAAATGTATTCTTGTTTTTGACAAATGCCCATTTTTGCAAAATGAGCAGTTTCAGCTTAGTTCTAAACAGTAGCAAAGTTTCTAATTTCTGCATGTCAAAGCTGGGCTAAATATTGAGACTAGTGGGTTAGAATCCTACCCTTGAGGCACTACAGCTTTCCTGGGACTTCTTGCTTGACTGCTAAGTTTCTATGCTCCCAGAATTTTGATTGCATCAAGGACTCAGTGCCTCTCTCCCTACAAAGGCTGAGTGGAATCCATGACAGACACATTCCTTTCCCTCAATCATTTGGAAAGCCCAATCCAACACATGGCACAGCTGAGACAAGCTGCCAGGAGGCCTTTTGGCCTCTAAGTGTAGATGTAGCTACTTTCTTTTCAAAGGTACTCACTGTTTTTTCTGTAAGTCAGTTGGTTACAGAAACCTGAAAGAGCCAAGCCATCTCTCAGGACAAACCCCTAAGACAGGGACTCCAGCGGTGGTGACCAGTGACAGTTGTCCTTGCCCCTGCTGGAGCTGGGTCACTGCAAGAGTGAGTACAAAACCTATAGCCCAGTAAGAGAGGGAGACACAGCACAGGAAAGGGTGTTTACTGGGACACTTCCACAGGGAAAGATGGAAGGGAGAAGCTGTGTTACCTGCTATATTCACAGATGGACTAACATACAGAGGCAGCTCTGGCATACAGATGCAATACTCATCTGTGTGCAGGACCTCCAAACACCTTCCCAAACAAACCTAAATACACAAGCACACCTTAAAACCTAGGAAGAAAACTTCTGCTGTTTCTAATGTACACCCTGAAACCCACTACTCCTCTGCTCACATCCCATTTCTGGAGTTTGCGCTCTCCTTCCCCTTGTTGCTTCCCAAGACTTAAAACTGGTAAATTCCCATCCTCCTGTGTCTGGAACAGCAGATGCAGTAATGATGTGAATATGCTCATTGTAAATTGTAATGATTGTAAATATGCTCAGCTCAGCAACAGCCTGAGCCAGGCAGAACTTTAAGAGCTATTACAACTTCTGATGGGGTTCTTATGGTTTGTCTTTCCTCCCAGACCAATCACTCCTGTTCTAGGCATCTGTATTTGGTTCTTTCCACTGGGCATGAGTCTGTTTAAGCTGAGTTAAATGGGACTTGAAAGGCAAGGAATTCCAGCGTTGTTCTGACATGCATTTCCCTAGAACTAGAAATGCTATTATGCATATGAATCCTTTGGAAGAGGGTATTAACTGGTATTAACTAAAGTCACCCTGTTTTAGTTGTTACTACCTGTCACTTGATGCCGCACACAGGTGGGTTCAGGATGCAAAAAGAAACTCCCAAGTTAAGCGGAAGGAAGATAGCGACAGTAATAAAATAGCGGCAGCTTTCATTTGGACCTCTCAATGAGTCAGGCTTGTTTTAAACTTTGTGGGACTTCTTTTGCTGTATCATGTCTTCTAAATTAAAGGACACAAAAGTAAGCCATCTTTCTAGTCCCCCAGCACTGCTCTTAGAACAGCTAATGGTTAGCAAACCACATAACAGGATGGGTGAGAAGTCTTGTTTGGGACAGTATTGCCACGTGAAATGCTTTGGTAAGGAATGGTAATGAACTTATGCCTATTCCATCCCATTCCTGGCTTTTGCCAAAGACTCATCTAACCTGGAAAGGGAGCATAACACTGTGACCTGCATATTAAAAGCAGACCTATGGCCAGGGGGAGCTCTAGGTACCCATGTGGACAGCCGGGATGTGGACAGGAGCTGAAGTCTCAAAGTCTGGCTTCTCCCAGCAGTTCTTCTCAGAACTGAGTAGTTGCTGATGTTACCACACTAAGACCAAAGTCTGCTAGACTTGAAGGAACAGCAGTGATAACACCCAGTACGAGCCTTGAAAACAGTCAGAATGACTGTTGCCTGGCATCCCGCTGAGAGCTCTCTCCATAACACTGGGCATAGATGACCTGACTGCAAAGCAGAACTCTTCCTTGCCTAAGGAACCATTGGAGACTCCTCCAGAGCTCTCTTTTCAAGGTTGTGCCAAGCAGTATTTTAGAAAGGATGCACCCAGTTCAAAAAAGCTGCACTAGAACCTTGTACATGCAATAATGGTCCATGAAACCTCTGCTAGCCTGAGGACTCTCTGGAGGTCATGGTACAACTGGGAATCAAGATGCTGATGCCTGGACATGCCAGCCGGGGAGAATTGGAATGACTGTAGCATATGACCTGAGATGGTCTTGGTAAAACTTGACCAGCACACCCAGAAGACTCTTTAGATGAAAAGAAACCTTAAACTGCTCCTTCACCTGTTTTTAGGATGTAATGCAGGCAGGTTAGCCCCACCTTTCTCAATACAAGCTCTCTCTTTCTTAATCTTATCCACCCCCAAATTGATTCCCTTCCACTGGCACTTACCTGACTTCCAAGGAAGCAAAGAAATGCCCAGCTTCCAATTATACCAAGATAAATATCAAAATGAGCACCTGTTGGACACTTTAATGTGTCACATTTTTCCGGATTTTGACTTGAGGTGTTTGCTTACCTGAGAGCAACTAATTCCAGTAACCAGTGAATTCGAACTTGTTCAATGCCGCCATGTGGAACAGAAGAAATGTAGGCAAGGTTCATCTCTTGGTCTTTGCTCAGGTCAAATAGGTCAGCACGGCTGTGAGGTAAAGGAGGGCTTCAGGAAAGGAGGGACAGAAAAGAAAAAACACATTCCAACATTAACTAGCAGCTCCACTGGGTATCCAAAGATCCCTACACTAAGTTCCCATACCACCTGCAAAATCCTCCCTGGCATGAGAAGCACTGTCTAACACAAGATGAAAGCAAAATGGAGTTGCAGGTTATTTGGGACTAACTGGCTACACATGTAGTTTGGTGAAGCAGAACACAACTTGGGTGCATCTCATTGCCATGCTCAAAACAAAGTATTACAAGCAGTCATTGCTGCACAGACAGCAAGATCAGGCAGCAGTGGCCTAAAGAAGCCATACAATGACAGTCATCTTGTCTCTGAGTAACTAATGTCTTTTAGGCTTTGGAGTGGAAGTCAGACTTGCTGAGGTCTGTAGTAAGACAAATATGGGCTTGATCTTCCTGCTGAAGTCTATGCAATGACATCAACTCTTGCTCTGCTGTGGAAGCTGCACTTGTTAGAAGCAGAATTAGACCTCAGAGCTTCTACATTCTTTGGCCATGTTCAACTCACCCCTAAGCATAAGGAAGCCCAGGAGTATGTGACTTGAGGTTTCTATGCTTGATGCTGTAAGCAGTTTAACCTGCTCACAGCTATACAGCAATGATCATGTTAACATGACTTTGGCGTCTACTTATTCCACTGCAATTAACATAACACTGGGGCAAATTTCTGCTGCCTCTATCTCCACAGATAAATAGCTCCAAGACGATCTCACTCCCACCCTCCCACGATTCAGAAACTTAGAACGCTGCCCAGTTCACTGAGTTTGGGCAACCTTAGAGACTCTCATTAAGCCTCCTGGTAATGTGCAAATTCTGAGTGTTAAAGCATTTGTATTACAAGAAAGATAAAATAACATTGTCCCCAAGGTTTCGTAAAATATTTCCACATGTCTTCACACTGCAAAGAGAGATAACTTGTGTTCTAACTACAGACTGTATATTAACTGTGTAAGTGAAAAAGCTTTGCGTTGCTGTGATCTGTCTTCTCTGATGGGTGGATCAGCTCTGTGCTGATTGTAACAATGCAGGGAAGAGTCATACTGTCATCCTCTCCTCTGTGCCCCTCCACATACACATCCCACCTCCAAGGACCCCATTGAATGAACCTGCTACTATATAGCCATCTGTGCACAAAGCGGGAAAAGCCTGACCCCACCTGGACAAGAACTTGATGCAACTTTTGTCTTAGCTAAGACACTGCCTATCACCTGCCTATCACCCCATCACCTGCATCCTTATTTGAAAGTGCAAGTCTTGACACAGATTACATCCTTGTACTTCATACAAATTAGCCAGCACACGTGAACTCCTCTGTGCAACTTCACTTAACATCATCTCCCTGAGATTGCTTCAAGTCACAAGTGAGACTGCAAAGTTACCAATTCTACTCTTACTAAAAATGTATCAGCCATTTGGGTCTTTTTAATTGTTCCAGTTGATAAGGACAATGTTAACTGTTGGTTTTTGAAGGAGTGCGTTACTACTACTCTGAGATTCAAACTTGCTTCAGTTCAAGCAGTGGCAAAGATGGAAGTCGAGACATAAAGCATTCACATATTTTTGCTTAGTCCACACTGAATAAACACTCTGAACTTCACTCTGCTAGAGAGAAATCTAGCAGAAACCGTCGCAAGATACAAAAGAAAGCAATAGAACAGCCGGGTTGGTTCAGTATCTGCCCTTTCCTGTTCTGAGTGGACAGTGCCCATCCCAGAGAACATCAAGCCTTGCATTCTCCCAGGCTTTATCAACTGCTGATCCACAGCTGTGTATATGCCCAACTGTCTGAAACTGTGATGCAGAAAAGAAGCTTTAACAACTGGAACGCAGTTGTCTCACAGGATGAGCTTTCAAGGGAGCTGGGATCCTACAGCTTGAGAAATACCAGTGTTGGCCAGGTGTTACAACTGAGTAGCTGCTGACCCATGGAGAGTCTCTCCCTCTGCTACTGCTCCTCTGGCTTCCCCTCACATGCTTTCCATGTTTGTAGCTTTACAAAGTTTCACACAGTTAAAATCATGGGTGTTTCTTGGGCTGCAGTTTAAATGGGCAAAACATACTATATTTTAGGGCAGTTTTTCATTAATGTTTCCTAACATTGCAATTAAAATTAAAAACCGAAACAGTAAAAGAAAAAAAAATCCAGAAAGCCCAAACATTTCTCTTCATCAGAATGTATTTTTGGTCCTGTTCTGTTTTCTCACCAACATGGAAAACTAATGGAAAATTTTTCAAGTTTTGCTTTAGACTACCTTTATGCATTGTACAAAAAAAAATGCACAAATTCCTTTTTGTCCAAAGCGCACACTGCTGATTCCATCCCTTTTGCATCTCTTTTTCCCACAATTGTTATTTAATCCACTGTATGCCAAAATGAAGGAGGTCATAATGAGTTTAGAGCAAGATACGAACATGGCTAAGGAATATACCATCTCTTGCTTTTGAGCCTGCTAGAAGCCTTCACGTATCTCACAAAACTTGAAGCCTGTTCAACCCCAGTTAGCTCAGCAAGACTGGGCTTTCTCCAAGAAGCAAAGCACTACCAGGATATCAAGCGGTGGAGCTGGGATTTATGCATGCTCCCACCCGTCCCCCTGACTTAGCTCAACCTGACTCACTGGCCACATTAGGAAGATGGTGCGTGTTGAAAGTGTCTTGGAAGAAGAACAAACTCCTAGAACAAACCGGCAGGGGAGTTTTGCCTTGCCCTATTTAGGGACTGTGACAATGGAAACACTGAAAAGGAACGGGAATGAGTTCCGAGTATGAGCAGATGTGCTGTGCTAGGAAGAGGAAGGACTCCACGTATCCGAGGGCCCTGGAGGCAAGAGAGCAAGTCAGAGAGGGGATGTCGACTGGCCCTATCTTCTGATCCGCTTTGTTTACTGTCCACGTCCCACGACCAGCTCCAGGCAGGTAACACCCAATGGGCTAAGCAGCAACGGGCAGCAAGGTGCCGGGCTCTCCGACCCCACCGCAGCAGGCCCGGAAAAGCCCAGGTTCCTCCAGAAAGGCCGCGTCCTTACACACTAGGGATCCTCTGCTTGAGGAGGGCTAGGGGCAGCCGCCTCTCACCCCGCCTGCTTCTCGCCAGCGGTGCGTGGCCTACCGCCGGGTGCTGGCCGCAGGGCTCTGCGCGCTTACCAGAAGCCAGTGCTCCTCCAAAAGTGCTCCAGGGGCCGCTGGGCTCGCCGGACGTCCACGTACGCCACGTACGCCGCGCAGCCCGCGCCCAGCTGCACGGCCAGCCAGAGCAGCAGCCCCATGGCGGCACGAGGAGCCCAGCCCAGCCGAGCCCAGCCGAGCGACACCGGCGCCCGCTACCGACGCAGCACGGACGCGACGCCAGGCGACCGCCCCCGCGGGCGCGCGCCCCCCACGGGCTCCCGACGACCCTGTGGTGAGCATAGGTAGTCCGCTTCAGGAATAGCAGGTCAGGTAATTCGGGTGGTAACGTCTCCGCCTGGAGCCCAGGCGTCTCGTACTTTTGTTGTTCTGGCGCAGCAACCGACCAGGAGTTAGTTACTTCCCTGAAGTTGCTGCACGGCGTGCAGTTATTGCCGTTGCATTTCTCTTACACACCACATGAGGGAAGTATACTCTGTTGTTACGTCCTCGTGCTCTGTGTTGACAAACCTGTACGGAAGAGTGTAGTACTATGTAGTGGCGCCGGTGGCCGAAACAGCCTTCCCCGAAAGAACATATTGGCATGATTGAAACTTTCGTCCGTTTTTTCAGTGTAAACATATTTCTTGATCTCAGTATGGCAAAGAGCTTTAAATGCACTTTGTAATATTATAGAGAGGCTGTAGATTGACTTGCTAAATGCTTATGTCTTACGACGTGTATCCGAGGACTGGGTTTTCCACGGGGGTGGGACTCTCTTCCGAAGGATCCCTCTCTTTTATGCGTTGTACTGCCTTCGGGAATCTCATCAAGCCTTGCCAACTAGAAGGAGGATGTGGGGAATTGGGCCTCCCTTCCACATCCCCAAATACCACAGTAGCATCTTATTTTGTGTTCGTTAGTTCTGATTAATTGGGTGGATGGGGTTCTTAAGTCTGGTTTCCTGTAGAGGCTTTGGATTTAGCAAGGGAAATCGTGGGCCCCTGTAACTGTGCCCACACCAGGGAAACTGCAGAGAGCTGCCAGGCAAAGAGCTGGGCTGCAGATGATCTCCAACAAGAGAACAACGTGACAACTGTGTTCATGGAAATCAAGGCTATCAGTCCCAGGGCAGCAACCAGTATTTGCCACCCCAAAAGCTCTGATATTTCAGCCCCTTTCACCAAAGCTCCCCCTGAAGCAGTTGTGCCAGAGCTAGCAGGGGGGAAGTCAGCTATTTACTCCTCAGCTCAAGAATATTGCAACTAGGAAAGGATTCTGCATGAGTAAGTTTATCCCATGTGTAATCCTGCTTGAGCCAGGAGGTTTCCTGTCTCAAAAGGAGTGGCAAACTGGGACCATCCCTAAGAAATTGCAAAGTGGTTTGGTTCTGATTGCTGATACGTTATTCCTCTGTTTGCAGCTTCGTCTGCATCTTGAGGCCTCCAGTTCCTGGGGAACTTGTTGTGAGCTTACAAGGCTCACAGCCAAAATTCAGGCAGAGGCTCAGGTAGGAATGGCGATCTGGCATTGTGACTTGACTCTGGCAAGGGGGATTTCCCTGAATTTCCCAGGGCTGCTCATGCTGTGGCTCAGCTTCAGTACTCCAATGCCTTGGAAGAGCAGCAAGGCCCAAGCTGAGCTCTAGTGAGGTTTCCATGCAGGATATTTAAGAGATTGCCTTATCCTTACAGGAAATGCCAGTTTGGCAGGCAGGCTTCTGCAGGGGGATACTTGTTGCCTCCAAACTCTGTTTTCTGAGAAGACCTGAGGAAGGTGTTTAAACAGGTAGTAGACGTGCAAACTCAAGTGGCATCTGACAGCCTGGGGGCCAATAGGCAGAGAAGTCAGCCCTATGCTGCTAGCTGCACCCTGAGCTAGGACAGCAACTGCCTTTGGGGTGAATGCTGCTGCCTTGGCTTCTGTGACGGCTGCAGGCTTTTTGCCAGCTGTAAAGGATGGTGCATGGGAGGAAGGACCTCACTGACACTGCTTCTTTTGTTGGCTTCCCCTCCAGAGGGATAGGCTGGGGGAGATGAACATCTGACTACCAAATGTCATACTGTGGTTTGTTGCTTATTAACAGCAACCCTTCACCTCATTGCCTTTAAGTGTGGAGGGTTCACTGCAGGGCAGGCACAGATACCAGCAGCTCCAGCACCTAGGTGCAATGGGCATGGAAGCTATCCCTTGCAGAGGAGCCAAAAGCTCAGCCCCCAACCAAAGACCTACCAGCAAATTTCAGCAAAAAGATATTTACAAGGGAGAAACCCCATGAACCCCATGGTTTCCTACCACAGACTGTCCCCAGTGGCATGAGGAAGGCCCTGGAGACCACCCTGACTTTCCATCAGAGACTGCCAAAACAGAGCTGTTGTGTTTCAGCTTGGCTGATTTCAAAGTCACATCTGGAAGACAAGGTGTCAAACCAAAACTATGTTCATTTGTCCAGGAAACCTTGACTATTCTCAGACATGATATCAGGCACGTTGTAGAAAGTCCTTAAACACAACAGAGCCATGGATGCAGATGGTGCTGTGTTGGCATTTTAAAGAAGTGTCTGTCAGAGCTCAGGGGAAGACTCTTCCCCAGGAGTCTGACAAGACCGTGATCTCCAGAGCGTTTCCAAGAAGGTCTTTCTCAGACATGGGGGTAGTGGCTAAAGAGACCATCTCCCTTGTGTTCCACAGCTTCCCCAAAGCATGGGGAAGTGCTACATCTAGCACATCAACCACATCAGACCAGAAGCTGGGAGACAGAAGATAAAACAAAACCCCTGCCAGAGGAGAGACAGAGAGCTGGAGGCTTCTATGCATCACCCTCAGGTTTCTCCTCCTGTGTCTGAGAAAGCAGCTAATAGTATTTTTCAAGGTAATTTTTCTGAAGAACTGCAATTCCCAGCAGATCTTTCCTGCTCACCACAGTTGCTCTGGTGCCTCCTGCCAGAGAAAGAAAATGCAGCAGCGTTACCTGCTCCCTGTGAAGTAGCCTGATATGCCTCTGTTCCCAAAACATCTGTAGGGATGCTGCAGGAAGAGCAGCTGGGACCAAATGGTTTGCTTTTTCCCAACGAATGTAGCCAACTGGACCAGCATGTGCCTGGAAGCATTTGCAGGCCAAATGCCAGGCTGCACGCGTGAAACCCAGTGGCCTGCTCTGCAACTCTGCCAAGCCTCTTCTCACAGGGACACGGCAAGTGCCAGGGTTACCACAGGTGACCTCCAGCAAGCAGTTTCCCAGGTGCAAAAGTTTGATTCAGAGCTGAACAACTATGTCCAGCTTGCTGTGAGCACAGTTCTAGAAACCATCACGCAGAGCCCTGATAAAAGGCCCTAGCCAAGGGGAAGTTCCCCTATTGCCTCTGACTTTCTGCTCATCCAAGGGCTGGGAAGTGCCCAGCAGGAGGTTTTCCGTGTGTCATTTTACCCACAGCTGACACTCCCCACCAAAGGACACTGGGGATTTTACAGCAGCTTCCTCCTGTCTCCCTGCACAGACTGGGAGCTCTTTCTGTCCTGAGGCATTCCTGAGGAGGCACATGGGCACAGGAAATAGAGAATGGAAGGGAAGTAGCTGGAGAGCAGCGCTGTGCACTGGCCCTTTCCAGTATGCTGAGGCTGACCCTTCCCAGCTACCTGGCCAGCGTAAAATCCTCCACTGTCTCAAACTGGACAGATAAGAGATGTCAAACCTGTTACTCGTGAGTTAAGTCACACCTCACAGAAAGGCTGTGCAAAGCATTTGGCTCCAGCTGCTCTCCTTGCAGCATCCCTGCAGATGCTTTGGGAATAGAGACATATCAGGCTCCTTCAGGCATAGCAGGGAGCAGGTAGCTCTTCCTGCTGCGCTTCCGTTGTCTGTCAGGAGGTGCCTGCACAATACAGAGGAAACCAATGCACAGCAAATTGGGGGGTGTGGGGTGTGTGCTTTTCTGTTCAGATGCCTCCAACTCCTTCAGCACTTAACTGAATTATAAACTTGGCCTCAGAGAGCATTCCTGGAAATGCCAAGATTGCATTGTCACATAGCCATCTCATCATGCCACATGGCAGGAACAAGAATTTTGCTATAACATATGGAACCTAAAGCCTAGAAAATTGTCCAGAGCATGGGTTCTGCTCTTGGCCCGGGAAGAAATGACAGACAGATATCTGGATATTTTTTGTAATAACTAATCACTAATAATGGTGAGGCATTCCAGGGCTTAAGACAGCCTTTGCTTCTTGGATAACTTCACATTGGATAACTTCATATTCCCATGTGGTAGCAGCTGGTCTTTGTGCAGATGGACTCAGCTGAACGGTCTCAAGTGTTGTGTCACATCTAATCCAGTGTAACCAGGGCTTCTGCCAAAAGGGCTGGTCCTGCTCTTCTTCCCTGCCACTGCTTGCCTGCTCCTGCTGTTTCCTGTGTGTCAGGTCTGACAGCAAGGCCTCTGAAGGGAGGATAGTTCAGCTGGCTGACTTGGTGGGAAGCATTTCCTTTCTTGGGTCAGTTTGTTTTCTTGTGAACTGGCAAGCTGCAGAGGCATGGCACTATGTGGCTCTGGTGCCTGGTAGTCCACAACAGAGGAGGCACAAGGACAGGGATGGGAGAGAATGAGATGAGCCTTGACTCAGCTGCCTGCTGTTAGACTGGAGAAGGCACAGTACGAAAACTGCACTCTGACTCATGCATCTCCATAGCTTCCACAGCATGGGCAGCCTTTGTAAACAGCTAACTCCAAAGTGATCCTGTTGCTTGCAGGAGTCCAGCAAACTGTATACACCCATCTAGACCACCTACTTGCCACTCTGCTTGTAATTGCCTGCAACATACTAAAGGTATCTGTTGATCAGACATATATATCTCTCATCGGGAGTCTCGTCAGCAACACAGCATGAATCTTGGTGCTGCTTTTCTTATGGAGGTCTTGTTTTTAAAGCTCAGTTTATGACAATGTTGCTGCTTTCCCCCAGGACCTGGTGGGCTTTGTGAGCCCTGGGATTTCCTTCGTGGTCTTCATTGATTCATCCCCAGTCCTTGGGATGAGTCCTTGAACTGGATGTGGCCTGCAGCTATCTGCTGCCTTTCCCCTCAGTGGGACAGTCTTATGCTGCTTCAAGACCTGCAGTACCTCTAGTACTAGGTTTCTGCCAACAGGCTGTGCAGATTGCACTCA